AAAAAAAAACATTTTTTTCCCTTTATATTCCCCCTGCTTTTAGTTCGGACCAGTCTTTTCTCTTCACAGTTGACTGTTTACATAAAGCCTCACTTCACAACTGAAAAGGTTTAATGGAGCTGACATGGTACTCTCCCAGGCTGTACGGCTCAAAAACAGGGGCATGCAAAAATCAGAGTGAACTACTGTTACCTTCTCACAGACACTTACATCCTGAATGTAGATGATGTTGCTATGGCGATGGAAGTGAAACATTAATGCTTTCAGAGAAAATAAAACACCAGCAAAGGAAAAAAAAATAAAGGAGAGAGGAAAAAAAAACATACAATGCCGGAACATGTCTATCAACATTATTAATCATCAGTACGCCTACTGTTGCTTGCTCTTTGGAGATTTATTATCTTCATGTCCGCCCACACACATCATGCAGATTTCTCTCATTAGTACACAGTGTTTGAGCAGCCTCTCATTAAGTCTCTGGATAAGGTAAATCACACATACTGCAAACCTTCAACATATATCATTTATAACATCATTCTTCTTGTAACATCATAATGCAAATATATAAAAAAATAATACAGAAGAAACTTCTTCTCTTTAATTACCAGGAGTACTGGACTAAACCCCACTGGGTTGGAATCAAATCTAAGCTTTTTTATTTTTTTCCCTAAGCTAAAAGCTTCGACAGAGAAAGCATTTTTTATTGCTTCTGAAAGCTGCAGGTTCGCACACATATTTTACACCAGAAGTTTCTGCTCAAACAGAAATGATTTGGGCTTAGACGGGGCTCTGCTTGGATTGTCGTGGTCGACCATGGAAGTCTATGACTTTTTTAAAGCCAACACACCAGCAGCAGGTTGAAGTAAAACTGGGAAGCAGTGGGAAAGCTGATATTCCATTTCACTTTCAGAGAGCATGTGCACATGTATTTGGAAATACTTTGAGGTTACAGTTAAAAGCAGAAGCACCTCCTTTACAAGGCACAAGGGCACTGTGAATGTTGAAATGTGTCATTAATGTATTTATCAGCTAGAGTGCAGGTGTGAGCTGGAGTTTGCTTGGCTGCTGATGTTGAAGTGGTTGTTTGATTATCTATGGGTGTTCATGTGTGTGTGTGTGTGTGTGTGTGCGTGTTACCTTGCTGTCCACAATGAGGTTGCGGATGCAGCCAGTGAAGTGTTTGTGCTGAAGCTGAGGGTAGATGTAAGGGATGTCCTCGTTCACACCACCAAGCTGGAGCACTTGACTCATGTTCAGGTGTCTAAAACACAGAGGCATGGACAAAAAAAGGTATTCCTAAAGGCACTTATTAGGGGCCACTGTACTCAGAACATATGCAGTCATTTGGGCTAAAATGTCAGTATAATTAAAGGGGCAATATCATGTAAAATCAACTTTTTTGAGTTTTATATCATGTTATAATGTTCTACTCTCATAAAAACATACACAAAGCCTTGCTTTGACTCATTCATGCATGTTTGAGAAATCCTGCAGCATTTTTAGGCAGCCATGCTGAGGAGCAAAATGACAGGTGGGGACCAGAAACGCCTTTTGGGACAAGAAATGCCTCTGGGAYGTGTCTTTAAGCCAARCTTCCTCATGGCAGAGYGACCCCATCCCACCCACTCCGCGACTCCGGCAGGCTACGGCAGCAGCAATCAGCAAAYACCCTGAGGAACTGCACGTCTGCTCTTAGACAGTAGCGACACAGGTAAAGAAACAACAGTTGTCGTAACTACAAAAGTGCTCCTAATACTGGTTGAAAGCGGCGGCATGAAACTGTTGTGGTGACGTGCTGAAATGGGTGGGACCGAAGTGGTTGGATGTTCTTAAAGAGACAGAGACCTATTTCAAGGCATTTAGAAACTGTCAAGATGAGAAGTAAATTGTTTTGGAGATTTTTACAAATATATAGCTCTTTCATAAGCTGAAAATGTGACATAGTTACTTTATTTTAGTATAAAGTTGAAATATAGGCTTGAAAAGCACATGATATTGCCCCTTTAAAAAATGTCAAACAGCAACATGAATCATTTAAACAGAACTGCTGGAAAATTATGTTAGCTAATAATTTCACTTTTAACCATTTTGTTCTAATCTGCCATATACCATTCAACACAAGAAATAAAACTTAATCATAAAGGCTGTTGAATCATTTTACCATGTCATTCTCAGCAAATCTGAGCAAATACCAACTAGATGACTTGAATGTCTCATCTGTTGCACCATGGTCCAAGCTGAGGGTATGACCACCACCTGATACTGTTCCTCTGGACGACTTCAGTTAAAACAAACAGTTAAAGGCCAATATACAGTATATATCTGTTTGAGAGTACCTGTCAGTGTTTGGTGTAAGGCCYGTCACTTCACAGGAAGAGTGGTCTTCAGTAGTCAACCAGCTGCCCAGACCTTCCATTTCCATTACTGCAGCTCCTGAACATCGATCCAAAGTAAAACGTACTTCCTGAAAAGGAAAACAAATAAGAGTATGTTACACTGTTGTCACCAAAATACAGCTATGGTATCTGACTCACAGTTCTTCCAATATTATATACAGTGTTACTCTTGCGCTGCCAGTTATCTTACTGTATATTCACACAACAGAAAAGACTGACAGTCATAAACAGGTGAATTTGTATACATTCTGGTATAGCAAGCATAATTCAAAGTATGATATCTAAAAGGAAATAGAAACTTAAAGTAATCCTTTTATGCTGGGGTAAATATCAAACAATTATTCTTAAAAAATACAAAAGTTTAGGCACATATCTCATGCAAATCTGTTTTTCTAGATAGTGACATTTTTTCACATATTCAGAGCAGCTTATGTTACAATAAAATATACAATACACTTTAAGTCAAGTTAAATTACTGTCAAAGCTATTTAAGGAACATGAAGCATGATTCTCACAACAGTCATACAATTTCATTTAAATATAACCTTAGCATATCTTTTCAATAAAAAAGCATTCCTTCAGCACCATGACTTTATGAACTCATTTCAGTTTTTTCAAGTTGTTTCTGAATTTTTCAATGCTGTTGAACACAGTGAGGTTAGGAAAATACTGGTCTTGGTCTTTGCTGTAATCTTCAGAGAGCAGCGTTGGTATTTTTGCTTGTGAACTCAAGTAGCCAGATAAACATGCAGCATTTTATTCTAGTAATTTTACAGGACAAAAATATAAATTTGTATTTGATACAATCATAATGATGCCATTGAGATGCAGAATAGTCCCAGGTGTAATAACAAATACCGGTACTTCAGCATTCATGCAGTCCAACATATTGTGAATTGCAACAGTCTGGCTAAATACATTTTGTGTTAACACCAATATAAGCCTGATTCTGAAGCCATTTATTCCTAAGTTTTGAGATATTTGAATGTGTTTGCTATAAAAAACAGCAAAAATTTTATCCTTTACTTTCACTAAAATGGGACCTCTTTATATGATAATAAAAAGAGGCAAAGCCTGTCCAGCTGCTTTTATGTGTCCTGATTAAAGTAAGGCATGAGTTTGAAGCTGTCAAACTGTGTTACATCAAAGCCTCTAAAAATAAGATTTCTCAAAGTCTTGTTGATATTTAAGAGATGGAATAAAACTTTAAGTGGTTGTGTGTAAATCCTCAGATGTAAAAAAAAGATGCAGGCAGTTCACAGTCAAATTAAAATGATTTTAATTTAACTAACTCAATTCACTCGACTGTACTAGACAKAAACTGTCAATGAAGGGCTAATGCAATCATCCGTCTCACTCTTACAATTATCTTCCTGTGCACTGTACAATTCAGACAGCTTTATAATAGTACATCACTACCATTTCCAATATCAGGACAGTAATGATTTCATGTCCAAAATAGATTAATTTTAATGTCTATYACAGGAAATTGTTGCCTTTATGTGATGTTAATGCAAAATTGTACAAAAGGTGCAACTTTTTCTTCCCTGAACTGACATATTAATGGGGATTATTTATATCTAGCAAATTATAAAATAAACACAATCACAATTTGTGTATTATCTTAAAAAACGATTACTTACTAAAACGTGAACTTTTCTTGATTTTCTAGGTTTAGGATGCTAAAAGCAAAAGCATCTAGCAGACAAAGTCAACAACACCCATTCAATGGATTGAGTTCTTAMTATAAATCTTCAAATGTTGGCCATGTCATGAAGCATGTCCTGCGATAAATGCACAACTTAAAGGCTCTGCAGCTGAACTGAGGGCAACACTGAAGGGTGAGTGTTCAGAAGAGTGAAGCGTCTTCCTCAAGCCAAAATAGGTGGAGTTCAGCTRCAACATTCTACAGAAAATCACTGAGCACCAGTGTTTCAGGCAACATGGAGAGGTGTTTGGGGAATACAATAAAAGCTTTTACAGAAAAAAACAAAACAAAACAGAGGRGTATAGAACTTAGTCTATGATTGCAGGAGCAACATGAGTTGAAGCTGTGATACATCTGTAACAGAGGAGTAACACTTGGAGTTTATTTTCTAAATAAGTGACAGCTAGTGTAAAATGGATGATGCGTCTCACCTTGCTGTTGCTGCGGACATCCAGTCGATGCCAGCGCCTGTCTGCAACGTTGACATTTCCTGGCAACTGAAGCACCAGTGTGCCGGATCCATGGTTGATTTTTAGGGTGGGGGTCCCATCTATTAGTTCTGGAGAGAGAGAGAGAGAGAGAGAGAGAGAGAGAGAGAGAGAG